GCGGCGCTTTCGCCGAAAAATACGGTATTATTCATCTGGGGGTAAGCATTTAGGAATTTAAACCCACCAATTTAGAATTGATGTAAAATGCTTTAGATATCCATTAAAAGATAATTCATAGTTTTCATAAATTTTGAATTAATTAAGCATATTTTAACTAAGCATATGGTTTTTTTTATATTCAAAAATAACAAAAATATCTAACTAAAAACTAATGTATCTAATATTAAAAACTCAGAGGAGTTAAAGAATGTAAAGACTTAAATATTGCTCATCCAAATTTCAAGAGCAAACAAACAGTAAGTCATAATCATTCCAACAATTTTAGTAAGAAAGATCTTTAAAAAAATTAAGATTTGGCAGAAAATCTTTAAAACTTTAATCATTAAAACTAATATGGAAAAGTTTGAATTAATCAATTTACTGAACAAATAATTATACCTATTAGTGTCATCCTAGGCTTTGTAAAATTTAAACAATTTGTGATGATGATTGAAAATAACTGATATTGAAAAACATTACTTAATCTTGTTATTTATGCCAAAAATGTCTAGCATCTATGGCATACTTACAAAATTGAAGAAAATCAAAACAAGGTTTTGGACATGACCTTGATTTTACATCGCCAGATAATATATTCATTAGAGCACAGAGGAGGCACAATTTTCAATACTTGAAATTATTTATCTTGTTTAAAAGGATAAAAACACTTTAATATGCTTATTTAGGCCTTTATAGCTATAACTACAATAGAAGACCTACCAAACACAATTATATAAATTACATTAATTTTACTATCTCAAAGCAAATCAAAATTTATAAATTTATTGGATATTATTTCATTTGATCACGATAACTTAATTTTTTTCAATAAATAATAAATACTTAAGTGCTAATTTTCGTGTTTTAAAGTATTTTTATTCAAAAAACTATTTTAAAGCATTAATATTGATCTGTACCAGATATATATTGCCATGTTTACTAGGTATGTTTAATCATTCATATAACAAAAAATTCTATACAACACAAAGCTCCACATTTCAAGGTTTGTATTATAAGGATCTTATACTGCATTGTTGCTTTTTGTTTACAGATGAGAGAAGAAAGAAAAAAAGATGAATAATTTTTTTATCCTAAAGATCTCTGCATTGAGAGAGTAAAGTTTAAAGGCACAAATCCATTATTTGTTATACAGCACTAAAATTGAAAGACATTACACACTAAAAATAAGTGGATCACAAACTGTTGTAAACTATGTCTAATGCTAAAAAAAATTTAAAAAAAGAAAAAGAAAAAGAGGAAAGAAAGAAAAAGAGGAAAAATGAATAGGGTGCATTTAGGTTGTGGTGTAATGTGTAACATCCATGGTTTTTATAAACCACTGTCTGAGTCACTAAGTAAGTGTGGTTACAATTGGTTAATTTTTCATAAATGATATTGTCAGAGAGAAAAATAGCCACTTTATTATTATCTTAGTACACTTTTAATGCAAAAGATTTAACTTCTTTAGAAATTTAAAAAGACAAACAATTCTATGTAGTTTGTTGAATTTTATGTATAAAAAACTAGAAAAAAATAAAGTTTTATATGAAAAAACAAGTAGTCAGAAAATGCAAGTATTGTCATACAGATTTGGCTATTTTTTACATTGGCATTTAATAGAATTTTGACTGGAAATTACTGATACCTTGAGATCAGTTGTGATTTCTTTATCCACATTTAGAGAGTTTACTAAGTTATAAAATTCAAATATGCCATATATTTTAATAATTAATTGCATAATACAAAGTTAATGATACTAATATTGGGTTTTGATTAAAATAAAAGGTTAAGAGGAGTAAAATTAGCTAAATGGGCTTAAAGATAGCATTTGGCACAAATTTAACAGACAATAGAAAGAACTAGAAAACATAGTAGTACTAAACACAAAATTAAAAAAATAGAAATTATCGAAAAATCTACACATGGCATACTTAAAACCACTTGTTTTTATGTATCTATGTTTTATAAAACTAGTGGATCAACATTCAGGAGATATCTTGAAAACTATCATGCAGGACTACATGAAAATATACAAACCAAACTCTTGAAATTTGACAATAAGTATGTACAATGCTCCAATACATAGAAAATATTAGTTACAAGTTCCTTATTAAAACTACCTGAAAAATAATGCAGGCAATTGTGTAACATGAAAGTAGCATTATAATATAATAAGTGAATAAAAATCGTAGAAACTAGTAACACATCAAGAATTATGTTTTACAAATAAAAAAAAAAATTTGATACAATGAAAACTGGCTACACATAATAGCAAGGAATATAAATTTAAAAAAAAATGATATAATGAAAACTGGCTACACATAGAAGCAAATATAAAAAAAAAAGAGTTTATTTTATGAAAGCTAGCTACACTTAGAAGTCGAGAATATCATCCATGAAAACAAATATAGCAGTGTGAATGACAATTATACAAAGCTGAATACCTTTTTTCAATAGTTTTGGGACAGTGCATATTATATAATTTAAAATATATGGATTTAATATACCAGTGTTTTGGCCATTTCGGAGATAATGAAGCTAATTTCTGCAGTATCAAAAAATTTGGTAGGTAACTATTTTTTTCTATCAATTTAATCAATGAACAATATTTAAAAATAATGAGTTTCTGAAAGTTGGAATTGAAGGAAAACCTGTTATGATACATTTATGCAGATTTTTATAAGCATGCGAAAATGATTTCTTGTCAAGAGGTTAACAGGAAATTTGAAATCTTTAAACTGCAATTTTGCAATCTTCAATGATGTTTTTTTTAATTTTTTTTTAATCTACTTAGGTAAAATTAGATTAATTTGAATAGATGCAATCTTGCTTAAAGGAGAAAATTTATACACTTTAAATATATAGTCCTCCATGATTTTTTTCCTAGTTTCTCGTGTATAACTGTCTAAATCATCTAACACTGAGATCAAGTAAAAGAATGAATACTGCCCTGAGAAGGTAAAAATGTTTACATTTTAAATTCAGAGCTTAGTGCCTCCATTACCTGGTTCTTATAAAATTACCAATATATTTATGTTCTTTTTTTTTTTAATTTGTTGTAAAATATTTATGTTAATAGCCTTATTTAAATGAAGGCACCAATTTTTAAAATTGTGCATTGCATAATATAAACAAGAATTTAACCAATCTGACAAACTGCCTATAAATCTGAAATCTAATAAACTGATTAGTGTAGAAGTTATAATTAGCAAAAAAAGTCAACTGCTTTATTATTTCCTTTCTTCTTTTTTTAAAAAAATAAAAATTATTGAAATAAAATTTTTTGCAAAACTTAAATGTTTTCCATAATTTTAAAACTAAGCCAAAAAATTTAAATGTGACAAAATGCTACTTACCATCGCCAGATAAATGCTTGGGAATAAATGTGTTTGCCATTTGTAAAGATGATTCTACAGGAGGATTTTTCATCAATCCTAACTGCATTTCACTTTCAAAGACATCATTAATTTTTTTAATAATATCATCTGCTAGCAAATAATCATCAGTAACAGATTTAAGCTATAAAAGAAAGAAAAATGAACATACTTTACCTGTAAACTTAAAGTTGGTACTATTTATTTTCCATTTTAAAATATTGTTCTCTATATTTACTTTAAGTTAATAAAAATAAAACAAAATGTCATAGAAATAATTTTCTTTTCTTTATGTAAGGAACATACCCGATTGCTTGCAAGCAATGTAAATAAAATTTTCCACTGTTGTATTGTTAGTGAAATAGAATATTCTGGGGAAAATTAAATATGCTTGTTAAAAATCTGAGAAATTGTTGCTCTAAAACTCAATGTCTCATTAGTTTTGTTTGGTATCTTGATGAAGGTAATCTTTGGTAATTTTGATGAAGTAAAAGATTGTAGTTATAAATAAGAATAATTAAGTAGTGTAAACAATCTAACTTGTTCGTTACTTCTGTTCTGTCATTTTGTGTTCAGACACAAAGGAAGGTTCTAGTTCATAGAACCGAAACTATAGCACATGTCCATTTCTGTACCTTTATTTGTGCTTCATTTACGTTGTTTTGAATTATTCATATCCTATCCTCCATAGAATAAAAACTTGTATTTTATTTTGAAATTTATGCTAATATTATCTCTCCAAAGAAATTATCAACAATACTTTTATAAACAGAAAAAGAATGATAATAAAATATATTGGCAAATTTGCATATTGAATGAATTGACTCCTACTACCTACACTTTTTAGAATCCAGAACAATTAATAGTACTATATTTAGCTTTTTATTTACATGAGGATAAACTGATTCTTACCAGCTGCATTTTTGACGCATCTATATTCAGCTTCAAGTCACACCCAACATTGTTAAAAATAATACTTTTAGCAGACATTTCTAAATGAGATATATATAAGTTTACAAATTGTTTTTAATCGTGAACTACCGGCAGACTATGAAACGATTGAGTTAACTACAAAACTGAAGTAGCTATCATTAGATATACCGCCAGTTAAAAGGCCGATGATGAAACAACAAAAATTTTCAACTCTTTTGATGCAACCGGTTGTACTTTTTTAGCTTTTGCGAATCAACTTAACGTTGCCCCATCGCTAATCACCCCTTTTTGATAAAGCACATTACCGAGAGAATCGCTGTTTCACTTTCGTTTTGTACTTCACCCTTTCAAAATCACATGTTGACGTCTTTATTTTTACAAGGTTACTCGAACTTCGTGCACGAAAGGATTCCGATGATTTAATTGGCTGTTTTAATCCCCAACTCTTTTTTTCATGGTAGTGTATAGCGTGAGGATGCCAGAATTTTTAGACTCAGCTTAAACCCTGGCCCACTGGGTAACGATAAATGAGCAACACTTCCGGCATCTTCTAAGGCGAAAAACGAAAGTTCAGTGCCTGCCGTTATTTTAAAAAAAACTTTTAGTAATGTTGAATAACAAAAATTTTTGTCAGTAAAAATTTAAAAAAATCATAAACTTTGTTTTGTAGAAATGAATTATGCCAGGCCTCTAACTCCCACATAAGTGGATGACCTCTGGCCTGGGGGTCAGATAGATGAGGGAGAGGAAATAGCGTCCCCCGAATGCAGTGGAACAACAATTTTCAAAGAGGACACTCTTGTCAGATATGGATACAGAGAGATGAATATAGACAAATAGAGGTATCATAAGAAAAAGAGCACTCTCTCAGCAGATATGGATGAAAAAATCAAAACTTTAAGTTCCTTTATTAAAATGTATCTGTATGTATATAGCGGAATATGATAATTAAGAATATAATAAAAATGGTTCATAATTAACATCCTCGAAATGAATGAGTCTGGGCTTCCAACAAGAAACGAAGCGAACCACTAATGTCTCACAAATTATTTGCTATTTACTGAACAATATAATCCTAAAAGGACTAGAGAAGCATAAGCGTATATCTTACCTTTACACCTTCCCCTAAGCGCAATTCTTCTGGAACTGTATAATATTTTACAATGCTGTCTAAATCTGCATTAGGATCATCTAATTTCAATAAAAGCACTCGGAAATTTGTACCCCCAAGATCAAGAGCCAAAAATTCTCCTTTTTCTAGAACACAAAAGTTAAAATATACATTTTTTTGTTTACTTCAACAAAGAATAACATGTTAAGCAGCAATCTGCAAATAATTAAAATATGAGAATAATTGTTAAAGAAAGATAATTAAATTACAAAAAATCTGTATTAATGTCTCAAGATATCTTTGATTGCAATTTAAGATTATAATTAATCAAATAAAAAAAATTATAGAAATTCTATACCGTATTTTTCGGCGGAAGAGCCGCGGCGCTACCGAAAAAAAAGTTGTTTTTTTCCTACAT